GTGCAGCGCCAGCTGTCCGCTAATCCCGTCTCTCATCGCCATGGCGCGTGGCGGGCCGCGTTCTACCCTTCAAGCGGCGTGCCTCGCCGCGGTCCTAACTAGCATCGTTGCTCTAGCGCTGCTCCCAGGAACCAGCGCGCAGGATGCGCTCGCGGAGGCCCCGGATCAGCTGTGACATCGCAAAGCCTGTCGCATGGTGTGGTGCGGCGTGGTGTGGTGCGGCGTGGTGTGGAGCGGCGTGGTGCGGTGTCGTGTGGTGTGTGGTGGTCTGCAATGTCCAGCTGGAAGCCAATTCTGAGGTTCTGTCTGCAGCACGACATGGAGTGGATCACACGCCTTCTCATGCATCAGCCACGACATCTCTAGTTTGCTGTGCTCATGTATATCGTTTCCCTGCTCAACTGCATACACACTACTCTGCCATGCCTGGCAGTGGTGCTGCTGGAGGTTCTGGAGCTACTGGTGGTGCTGCTGGAGCGGGTGCTCCTGCTGAGGGTTCTGGTGCTGTCCCTGCTGCTTCTAGCGTCGCCGCGCGGCCTCGACCGTACTTCGTTCCACTCCTGCAGCAGGTTCTTGGTCTTCCACCTTCTACTGGTCCTCCTCCTCCCTTAGAGTGTCCACAGCCTGTCTCGTCCCAGCTACAGTTGCAGCCTACCTCCCCTTTGCCTGCTCCTTCTCCCTACACTGGTCCTACTGGAGGTCTGGCTGAGCGTCGTGAGCCTGCGTCTCGCCCTGCGTCGCCTGTCCGTGCTGCTCGCACTAGTGGTCGCGGTTCGCGTCAGCGTCCTCCTCCTGTCCCTGGCACGCACCGGATGTCTCTGCGTCCGTCCACTGCTCCTCTGCGTGCCCCTTTGCCTTCTCCTCCTGAGTCCTCTCTTCCTGCTCTTCCCGACCCGGAGTCGGACTCTCTTCGTGCTGCCAGTCCTACTGTCACGCGTCTCCTTGCTACTGTTGTCACTGACCCTTCTTTCGAGTCTACTGCTGCGTCTGCTCTCGTTACTGAGCTCGTCGACTTTGCTGCTCGCTGTCGCTTAGACTACACTGCTAGTCTTGTCGCTGAGTCTGAGTCTGTCTGTCCTCCGTCCGTCGGGGGTGAGTGTGCCCTTGGCACGGACGTCCTTGAGGACAGGCAGGAGGAGTTCCAGTGTCTGGCAGCTGCCTCACCTCATCTCGTGTCCGTACTGCTTACCCCTGAGGGAGACCCGGATGCACTTGACATCCCGACTCCGCGCTCTTACGCGGAGGCGATAGAGGGTCCCTACTCCTCTCAGTGGCAGGCAGCTATGGATGCAGAGATGGCTTCCTGGAAGTCCACAGGCACCTACGTTGACGCTGTCCCCCCTCCTGGGGCGAACATCGTCAGTGGCATGTGGATCTTCAGGGTGAAGCGGCCGCCGGGTTCTCCGCCTGTCTTCAAGGCGCGTTACGTGGCTCGTGGCTTCAGTCAGCGGCAGGGAGTTGACTACTTTCAGACCTTCTCCCCCACCCCGAAGATGACCACTCTTCGGGTACTGCTACACGTTGCTGCTCACCGTGACTACGAGCTGCACTCTCTTGACTTCAGCACAGCTTTCTTGCAGGGCAGCCTGCACGAGGAGATCTGGCTGCGTCGCCCACCTGGCTTCACTGGGTCTTTCCCTCCTGGTACCCAGTGGAGTCTCCGGCGTCCAGTCTACGGTCTCCGCCAGGCGCCACGTGAGTGGCACGACACACTGAGGACTACGCTTCCGGCTCTTGGGTTTGCTCCTTCTACTGCCGACCCGTCGCTGTTTCTACGCACCGACACCTCTCTGCCGCCGTTCTACATCCTCGTGTACGTCGACGACTTGGTCTTTGCCACAGCTGACACTGCTGGACTCGCCTACGTGAAGTCCGAGCTGCAGAAGAGACACACGTGCACAGACCTGGGTGAACTGCGCAGCTACCTTGGCTTGCAGATCACCCGGGACAGAGCACGCCGCACCATTACCCTGACTCAGTCACACATGGTGCAGCAGGTCCTTCAGCGCTTTGGCTTCACGTACTCCTCGCCTCAGGCCACTCCTCTGTCTACTCGCCACTCGCTCTCAGCTCTGCCTTCGGATGAGTCCGTAGAGTCGAGTGGCCCGTACCCAGAGCTTGTTGGCTGCCTCATGTACCTGATGACCTGCACACGACCTGACCTTGCATACCCTCTTAGCATTCTTGCACGCTATGTTGCTCCTGGGAGACACAGACCAGAGCACATGGCTGCAGCGAAGAGGGTGTTGCGCTACTTGTGCAGTACTTCGGGCATGGGGCTAGTGCTTGGAGGGCGGAGTCCAGTGGTCCTCACTGGGCACGCGGACGCTTCTTGGGCTGACGACCAGGCTACGCAGCGGTCGTCACAGGGTTACACCTTCAGCCTTGGTTCCGGCTCTGTTTCGTGGCGGGCTACTCGCTCGTCTTCTGTTCTTGGCTCGAGTTGTGAGGCTGAGATCTACGCCGGGGCCATGGCTGCACAGGAGCTTCGCTGGCTCACCTACCTGCTGACCGACCTTGGAGAGCCGCCTCGTTCTCCTCCAGTCCTGTACGTAGACAACAAGGCCATGCTGGCCTTGTGTCGAGAGCAGCGACTGGAGCACAGAACAAAGCACATTGCTCTCCGCTACTTCCTTGCTCGTGAGCTACAGCAACGTGGACAGTTGCGGCTTGCGTACGTGGCCTCTGAGGCCAACACTGCTGATGTCTTCACCAAGGCACTTCCGCCTTGTGATCATCAGCGCTTCTGCACTCAGCTGGGTCTTGTGCCCGTCTTGCCTCACTTGCTCTCCTCTTGACCTTGCTTGTACTCTCACATATATATATACCTGCTCTTGCTTGTCTAGCTTTATATATATGTGTGTACTCTTGCATGTGAACTGGCCGTGTGGCCTTGACCCTGTGCTCGGACTGTGTGGTGACTTTGTGATCCACCCTGAGCTTGCTTTGCTTTGCTTTGCTTGACTGGTCTTGTGACCCCTTGTTCTCCCCCACTTTGCCTATGGGGGTGTGTCAGAACATTATAGCTTATGCTGTTGTGTAGGCTATAGTGGGGTATCCCATAGGGGGTACAACCAATTAGGGTTTCATATTTGTACTCACTTCATTTTCATAGTTCACCCATTCTCGTTCTCATTATCACAAGGCAAGGGCAGCGCGCGGGCTGCAGAGGGCGGCGCGCGGGCTGCTAGGGCGGACGCGACGAGCAGGGGCAGGGCAGAGCGCGGGCAGCAGGGCGGCGCGCGGGCAGGCAATGGCGGCGCGCGGCCAGTAGGGAGGCGCGCGGGCTGCAAGGGGGCGGCGCGCGGGCAGAAAAGGGGGCGGCGCGCGGGCTTTAGGGTGACGCGACGGGTAGGGCAGGGGCGGCGCGCGGTCCCTAGGGCGACGCGACGGGCAGGGCAGGGCGTCGCGCGAATCCTAGGGCACGCGACGGCAGGGCAGGGCGTCGCGCGGGTCCTAGGGCGACGCGACGGGCAGGGTAGGGCGTCGTGCGGGTCCTAGGGCGACGCGACAGGCAGGGCAAGTAGGCGCGCGGCCAGCAGGGCGGCGCGACGGGCAGGGCAGGGCGGCGCGGCAGCCAGCAAGGTGGCGCGCGGGCAGGGTAGGACGGCGCGGCAGCTAGCAGGACGGCGCACGGGCACGGCAGGGCAGCGCGACTGATGGGGCAGGGTAGGGCGCTACGAACTGGGTACCGTAAGCCCCCGGATAGAAGCGCAGGCCTCGGATAAGCGCCGTCGCTTATAAAAGGATGAGGGCGCTTATATCCGGTCCTCGATTATAAGCGCACCCCTGAAGGCTTACGGATTATAAGCGCCACCCTCTGTAATATTCTTTATATTTTACTTGAAACGCTGTAACGAAACACAATATTGCATCCCCACATTCAGAATTTCGAAACCCTTCCCCTTCGCGTGACTCAATGCCTTCGCGTCCAGTCAAAATGAGCTGCCATGGGGTCAATCTGACTCATTCTGACTGTGTGTGTTGGCAGGGAATCAGCCACTGCCGATTTACGCGAAATTCACATTCGATGTCCTCTACAATATCGATTCGATTCAAATCGCAAGGACGAGATGAACACTTTAGTGTAAAAAAACTAGATTTCATATATGTCATTATATAAGCCCCGGCGCTTATAAAAACCCTCAAATATAAGCGCACCCCCTAAAAAACAGTGCTTCTTTACACCCCCAAGGGCGCTTCTATCCGGAGGCTGACGGTAACGCACTACAGGCAGGGAACTATTCGGTGGGCCCTAAAAAAAACGGTCATGGAACAGGCCCTGCTCTGAAACCATGTCAGAATACTAAGCGAGAATGGTGAAACTAACAGCATGCAGGGGTACAAGTAGCAAACCCTAATTGGGCTGTACCCCATATGTGCTACCCCACAACAGCCTACAAAACATAATAGTTTAACAAATTGTAAATTTGTTGTGCCAGGAGGAAATATGTCCTATGCTCTCGTGCATGGGACAATTTTTGCGAACTAGCACAATTTCCCTCCCGGTAACGACCTAAAGGCATCTACATCTGTATCTACACTTGTTGCACTATGCACTGGTGATGTTGTTTTGATGGCACTACTGATGCCCGACACAAAGGGCACAAGGTGTGGGCTTGCAGCCATCCGTCTATGCACTCCTGGTAAAGGACACAGCAGGGTGAAAGCATGTGGAAAGCGGTGAGAAGCAGGCATGGGAGGCGAATGAGACATAACAAAAGAGCGGAGAATGGAGATAGGGAGGCAGGCAGAGAGGGCACGAGATGGACAGGACCAAGAGCGTGCATGCGTGAGTGGGTATGTGCGTGTGTGCGGGCACGAGAGCACGCGCACGTGCGTTTGTCTGTACGTAAGTGAGGTGCGTGTGTGCACGCGTGCGTGAGTGCAAGTGTGTGTATGTGTGTGTGTGTGTGTGTATGCAAGTGTGTGTGTGTGTGTGCGCGTGCCATGTGGAAGAGAAGGCATGTGGAGAGCAGCATGGCAGAACCTTGTGGAACATGTGGGTGCAGCAGTGCAGTCGTCTCACTTGCTCCTCCTCTCTGAACTCCGTCAAGCACACCAAGCAATCCACCGCCAATGCACCTGACAACCCCTCCACGCCTCCCTCTCCTTCTTCTCCCCCCTGTGCTCTTCCGCTCCGCACTCCGCCCCGTCCTCCTCCTCCTCCTCCTCCTCCTCCTCCTCCTCCTCCTCCTCCTCCTCCTCCTCCTCCTGCTTCTGTCTCTTCTGCTTCTTCCTCCCGCGCTGCACACGCCTTCTCACCATGCCTCCCGTGCTGCGCCTTCACAAGACGCTCACACGGACCACTCTCGTCTCGTCGCCAGTCAGCGCTGTGACTACCCTGTGTTTTCACCACCGCTGCTGCTCTTGCTGTGTCCGCTTCTCTATCCGCCCCTCGCTGCTCCTCCCCCTCACACGCTGCCTTAGCACCGCCCTTCCTCCCTGCACGCAAATTCTCACTCCCCCCCGCCTGCTCTCCCTCCGCCGTCTCGCCTATCTCAACCACTAGCAACCCCCTCTCTTCTAATCTCCGCTCCTCCTTCACCTCACTGTAACGAATCAAATCGCTGTGCTGAGCGATCTCTTCCACCCGCAACCCTTTCCCCCTTGTTCCCCCTACCCCGCGTCCCGCTTCCCCTTCCCTCGCGCGCGCTGGCGAGCCCTCGGGAACACCGTCAATGACGAGGACGGTGGGCACCTGGATGGTGGAATCTGGGCAGCAGCAGCAGCAGCAGTGCTCCAGCAGCGCGAGGACGACGAAGAAGAGGAAGGTTAAGACGACGGCGCCGCAGAGGAAAATAATCCCTGATAACGCGGACGAGCAAGAGCAGTCGGGGGGTGTCATCCGACTAGATTTGATGGCGATTGAAGAACACTACAACAACCGCGCTGCTTCGTCACGTGTGCTACCCGTTAGTGGATTGTGAGTATACCGAAGGTCAACAAAGTCAAGCGTCCTCAAAGCGTCAAAGTCAGACTGCGTGAGCGACTCGGAGTGCCGCCGTTGCTGCTCCGAATGCAGATTGAGGTTTTCTTGATTTGAGTACGGAAATTGCGGCGTATACACCCTAGCGGTGTTAGAAGTGGTTTCGCCGCTGCACCGACTTCAAGAGCGAAAAAACGACAAAAGGGACGTATGGAAAATGCCTTACATATGGCGGTGGGAAAGAATAGGCTGGAAATTGAGTTTCTGACGGTGGGAGGAGCCAGGTGAGAGATCGTGAGGAAGAGCTGGTGAAAACGAGGGTTTCAGGAGGAAGAGAAGGGAGTGTTGGAGAATCGAGTTTCTGCCGCCCCAGCCCTTTGCACACAAGCAGCAGCAAGGGGGAATGTCGGCGATGAATCAGAGCTTCGGGAAGTACTTCGAAAGTTCCACCACCAATCAGATTTCAGCCGAAGACTCGATATAGTTCAAAGCTGCCTTCAAACCCAAGTGTTGGCAGTTTCTACAGGTTTCTACACATCAGAATCAGCTATAACAGAAATATCCAGAGTTTTCTTATTCATGCACCTCATGTGGCACTCAAAGTCACTCAAGGTCCATCCAATCTAGATTGTGCCCAAGTTACCAGGGAAGTTACATTGTCTATCAGCCTAGTTTGAGCTTTCAATCTGTCTTGTTTGTGATGCCTATAGAGTTGTGCTTTAGTGGGCTTGTTAATCTTGAACATAGTGAAGTTTTACCTCATCCAGTCAATTCCAGCAGCCCTGCTAAGACTTTCCAGCCAAGTTTCCAGCCCTCCAGTAGTCACAGCTACTCTGTTTTACAAGTTGGTATCAGAGCTTGTCGTTTCGATCAACCTAGCCCACCACGTTCCTATCCTAGCACCATACGAACATGGCGGGAGACAATCCATCTGGTCCTGCACTCCAGCCAGCCGGAGGAGCTTCAGAGTCAACATCAGCAGCTATTGGATTAGTGGAAGCAGTTGCACCAGGCAGTCCTTCAACAACATACTCACCACTCACCTCCTTCATGCCTAAGCTTCACCTCCCCAAGTTCAACGGCAAAGATTTTCCAACATGGGCAACTCAGTTTGAGCTCACTGCATCCCTTCTGGATCTGTGGCCTTACTACACTGGAGAAGCAGCCAAACCAGCAGCAGATGCTTCAGAAGCTGAAAAACGACTTTACGAACGACGCAACAAGGAGGCCTTCCTCTACCTACTCAATAGCATTCACGAGCAGCAGTTGAAGTCGCTCCTGCCCTGTTCTACCAAGGCAAACAGTGCAGAGGAAGCATGGAGCCGACTGAAGACTATGCACCAGTCAAAATCCGAGAGCAGCCAAGCCGAGATGTGGAGCCGCTTCATGAATCTGAAGATGGAAGAAGATGAATCAGCACAAGCCTACCTACAACGAGCTGAAGCAATGCTGGAGGAAGCAGCAGCGATCGGCTTGGAGATTCCAGAGTCTCTTTTCAAGACCGTCATCCTCACCGGCCTTACACCGGAGTGGGACACTTTCCGTGCAACACTACAAGCGCTCCCGCAGTCAATGAAGAGTCGTGCGTTCATCTTTGAGGCCCTTGTCAACGAGCAGCAGAGTCGAGACCTTGCACGGAACAAGCGGAGTGACGAAGGTGCGTGGAGTGCTGCAGCAGCCACAAGATATGGCAACCAATTCCAGAGGCAAGGAAATTTCAGCCCAAACCGCCCTCAACCCTACTACGGTACGAAATTTCAGTCACCTTCCAACCCATACAAACCCTCTCGTTTTCCTCAGTCAAGTCCTCCCTATAAGTCCAGTCACTATGTCCAGCCAAGGCCTTCGATTCCCAATCAATACCAGCCTAGGAATGCAAGAGTCAATATGCCAAGAGTCAATAATTTCAGCCAAGGCCCCCAATGCTAAAAAGTTTAATTTTGAGTGTTTTTGTTGTCATGAGTGGGGTCACCCGTGGTATGCTTGTCCTAAGAAGCCTCCTAATTGGGTCCCCCCACCTCAGCTACTATCTGAAAAAGGTAAGGCAGCCATAGCAAATATAGCAAGTCATTCTACAAGTCAAGATGAGTCCAAAGAGTCCGATGGTCCTGTCCTTTTTAACGCTGCTACTTGCATGCACGTTTTCTCTACTAGTAGTGAGGAGTTTATTCTTGATAGTGGCTGCTCTGAAACCATGACTCCCTATCAGTCCATTCTCAAGGATTTTCAGCCCTCATATGACTCAAAAGCTGTGACTCTTGCTGATCTTGGCAAAGTACCAATCAAGGGAGTGGGTCTACCTGAGACACACCTGAGGGAGCAGAACCATGAGGGGGGAGGGGAGCTACTGGAGGGGGACCTGGAGCGAGGAAGAGCTGTCAGAATATTATGCTCTAGCCTGTAGTGGGGTGCTCTATAGCGAGTACAACCCTTCTAGGGTTTGCTATTTGTATCCTCATTCTTGCTAGTGCAACTCTCTCCTTCTTTGCCTAAACTGTTTCTTGCCTAGCTAGGGCTTTCCTAGCTATGGCGCCTTCTTCTACTGCTCATCTTCACAAGAGCGGCGGGGGGGGAGAGGGGCAGTGCGGTAGGGGAAGAGACGGTAAAAGGGAACTAACTCATGAAACGTGACGTCCTGAGAGGGCAGGACACGGCGCGAGCTGGGGTGGTAAAACTGCCAACCAGGCGCGGGGCAATGGAAGTGGTGGCAGCGGACGTATGCGGTCCAATGAGGGTCACATCACGACATGGCAGCAGATACTTCATTACATTCACGGACATCGGCACAAGACTCACATGGGTGATGGAGATCAAAGACAAAACGCAAGTTTTACCGAGTTTCATTGATTGGTTGGCGGAAGCTGAAAGACAAAGTGGCAAGCAGCTGAAAGTTCTCTGAACCGACAACGGTGGGGAATTCATCAACAAGGACTTCAACGACTACCTCAAAGCCAAGGGAATACGACGGCAGCGTATCATTCCCCACACCCCCCAACACAACAGCATTGCGGAGCGGGTGAATAGGACGTTGCTCAATAGCGTGCGGAGCATGCTGGCGGACAGCAAGTTACCTTTGACCTACTGGGGGGACGCGCTAGGCATGGCCTGCTGGCTGAAAAATCGCCTACCAACAAGAGGACTTGCAACTGACATGACCCCTCATGAAGCATTCTACAAACGGAAGCCTAACCTGAAATTTCTTCAAGTATGGGGCTGTATGACGCAGTACAGGCCCCCTGCTGGAGCTGATCACAAACTCCTGCCAAAAGCACGGTGGGGGGTGCACTTGGGAACATGCCCAGAGAGCAAAGGCTGGATTATCAAAGACGTGGAGACTGGAATCGTGTTGGCGACCAGGGATGTGACATTCTACGAAAATCTCAACTACGTGGAATGGAAGGCAAGCAACAAGGGCACAACTCCGGGAACAGCTCCTGCCACACCTCAACAAGCGGAGGAACTACTTGAAGTTGCCCAAAACGAAGGCCTGGGGACAGCAAACAATGAAGGGGAAGAAGATGAGGAGGAACATACCCAACCTGGAGTGGATTGGGTGTGGGAGCCAACTGAGGAGACGCTCAACAACGGTGACATGGAAGAGACTCCTACAACCCCACTCCTGCCAAAATCAGCGAGCGACAAAGATGAAGACATTGGAGAGGATGAAGCTGAAAAAGCAGAGCAGCCAAGTACTGAAGGAAAAAGCGACCCATGGAATTTTTCGAGACAAGCAACAATGACAAAGGAGCAGCAGAGATCGACAACTTGCTGCAGGATGGTGCTATTCTTATTGGGAGAGAGGAAGGAGGCACAAGCACGGAGAAAGCAGGGGAGATAGAAGCAGGCACGTGTGCAAGTGATGCTTCGGTGAAAGGAGAGGAGCTGGGAAGAGGGATGCGGACGAAGAAGCCGAATCAAAATACCAACAGGTTTTAATGATATGCTTGAAAGACGTGCACACTCACCTCCTCCTCACCTCGACGGCGACCGCGTTGATCACCAAGGAAAGGAGAGAGACTTACACCTGCCACAAGAACCTTTGACCATCGAGGAAGCACTTTCTGGACCGTACAAGGAGCAGTGGAAAGCGGCTATACAAGAGGAGTTGGACGCTCGCCGAAAGAGGCACATGGAAACTCGTCCAAATGCCCGAGGGGAGGCACGCCGTTGGCGTCAAGTGGATTTCAAGATAAAAAGGGGATAAGGGGCAGCTTGAGAGGTTCAAAGCACGGCTGGTGGCAAAAGG